ACTTTGACCAACCCCCTGGCCATTACCATTGGATTTCACTTTTAGTAGCATTAAAAATTTTAAAGATGTTGTTCCTGATCTGTAGTAAAAGAGAAAATGTAGTTGCAAATGTTTCATAAAGTCTGGAAATAATAAACATCAAAATTATGCTAATGTCATGGCATGCCATATGGTACTGAATATCAGTAAGCAGGAGGGTTCCAAGGACCTCTGAGATATTTCTGCTGTGAGTTAAAAAAGGGCAAACGTCCATCAGTACAGCTTCGAATCATCTGGAACCGTGTTATTTGGTGTTATTTCATAGATGTAGCAGATCCCTCATTGAATATTGCATTCTGGGGTCTTACAGAAACATCTAGCCTCCCCTCCTCTGATGTGTGAAGAGCAGGGCTGTTTAGCCCTGTCAGAATTAATAACCCAGCCATTTTTTTTATGGTATGTATACCTTGGGTCCTTCTACTTTAGAGTGATACAAATGAGCTTCCCAGAGTCTAGGCTATTCCACAGATGAGCAGAGCAACAGAGTGATTGTTCAGATCAGACCAGAGAGTCTTTCATATGTAACTGAGCACCATTTGGTAATTCCTCCAAAGTCATCAAAAACAGCTGTGAAGACAGGTGCTGAGCACAGGAGATTCTGCATTGGGATACCTGGATCCCATACAAGAATGCCTGGGTTCCAGTCCTGGCTTCACTTCCAGTTTCATCTTTCTAGTAGTGTGAACTCTGGGAGCCAACAGGTTAGCGTCCCTACCACCCTGGTGAGAAACCTAACTGATTTCTGAGCCCCTGACTTTGTCCTGGACCATGCCTGGCTATTGTAGGCATTTTGGAAATGAATTTGTGAGTGAAAGACCCCTTTTTTTCCCATCTGCCTGAATTTCAAATAAACAAAAATTAGTAAAATAAAAATATATAAAATCTATCATATTGCCTCTATGAGAGATTCAACATTGGAAGCTCCTCATGTTTGAAAACAAATGAACAGAAACATTAGTTCATCAGCCTTCCCATTTCGGTCCTTGCGTTTATCTTTTTCTGCCTCTTACTTCTAAAGTGACTTAGATCTGATTTAATTCACTTCCTGGAAAGCACAAAGTTTGCCAGATGCTAACTCAGTGAAACACTTGTAGCAGACAGCATACTTACCAGGCTTTTTGAAAGAGCATTTTCTGGAACATGTTTATGAAGAAGGAAATGGTAGCAATGATGTAGATTTTTCCCTGTCCATTGAATTCTGTATTTTATGGAACTGATGTCAGATTACAAAAGAAACATTTTGGACTATTAATTGTGAGACTTTGAGTTACATTAAACTACCAGTCCCATTTCTGTAAAAGCATAAACCAGAATTCAAAGCAGAGAAATGGGTCAGAACATTGGCCATCCCTTCACCTGCGTTGTCTGGGGAAACACATCTCAGGATGGTTGGGGACTGGAATCCAAATTGTGCAGTAATAACAGTGTGCTGTGTGAGAGGCTTGATCATTTCCTCACATATACTGCATAGTACTCATTATCTGGCATGATCCAAGGTCTTACAGCCCGGCTTTGGGGTTTGTCCCTGTAAAAAATGGCCAAGTGTCCTGTTTCACCAAGCCAGGACACCACCATCTGTAACTCGGAGTACTTAACGGAGACCATGTATCACAGAGATATGTTAAATGACAACTACATTTCTGGAAGAACTAGATGGAGAGAATCTTTTAAGCTACCTTTAATTATCATAACAGAGCTCTCCAGCTTCCTTAATGGCATGCTATATCATCTAAGAGGTAATCAACTCTTCTACACCTCCTCTTAATTTCATTTTATAGAAAGTGCTGGTTGATGAGTGAACTTGCTCTGTAGACCAGTAATTATTTATCCATACAATTATTTATTCAACAGATGTTTAATTCCTACCTATTTCATTCTTATAACTGTTTCAGGTGATAATGAAACAATGACGCTACCATAGTGATCTTTTTACTATTGAGGAAATTTTATACTTGGTGGAAAGGTCTGTGTCTGATAAAGTCTTATTTTCTTATTTATTTATTTGATAAGAAATGAATAACATAAATATTTTTATATTATAAAATCTTTGCATTTTAAAGACACTCATATGATTATTAACTGAATACTACTTGGAATTAATTTTTGCATGAGGATTCTTCAAAAAGTATATAGAAAACTGTAATTGAAAGGCATTCATTTCAATGCAAAATTTTTTGAAATACAGACATATGACTGAGTCTTTAAATTGATACAGAGAATACGTACTATGAAAAAGTTTGCATATATTTCAAATAAGCTCATATTTTGGTTATATTTGTAACTACCTTTAAAAAATACCCTTAAATATGAGTATGTCATGATGTCCTTAAAGATGATTTTTCAAAAATGTATTTTTTTAGGAGGAAAGGGAAAGCAAGAGGGAAATTGAGTACTAGATGTAGGGTGAAGCAGAAGAAACCAGTGTAGGTCTCCAACAAAGATGCAGGATCCCAGTTATCTGAGCCATTGTCTGGTCATCTGCTGCCTCCCAGTATCTGCACTGGCAGGAACCTAGGGTCAGGAGCTGGAGGTGAGCATTGGACACAAGCACCCCACAGAGGAAATGCATCTTAACCCCTAAGTCAAACGTTCACTCCAACTCAAATATTATAGATCAATATAATGAGATGATATGCAGCTTTTCAAAAGAAATAAAGAGACATGTATAAAGTGACTTGGAAGAATCACAATAAATGGTAACAGACATTTCTTCCCAGAAGAGAATTTGGAGAATGGAAATTCATGACAGCAGACTTTATAAACTTCTCTGTAATATTTTTAAGGCTTTATTTAGTTGAAAATCTGGGTAACAGAAAGAGAGGGGGAAGAAAAGAGGGAGGGAGGGGGAGGAGGAGAGAGAGGGAGGGAGAGAGAGGGGGAGAGAGAGAGAGAGAATCTTGCACTGACTGGTTCATTCTCAAATGACCACAGAGCCAGATAGCACTGTATTGAAAGTAAGAAGCTGGAACTCCATGCAAGTCTTACACATGCCTGACAGGGGCCAGAGCATTTTATCAGCCACTGCCTTCACTATTTTTGTTTATTTATTGTCTGAAAATCGTAATTTTTGGTAGGAACAGTCAACACCTTGAAAGAGATAATCATGAAGGAAGACACTATGATTCTCCACTCTATGCTTAAAGAATGACTGAATTCTGAGACAAACCTGGGTTGGTTCACTGAAGAAAGCGAACACACTCAGAAGATGAGGTTTCTGTGGAATAGAAAAAAGAGTTGGAGAAAGGAGGAGAGGCAGGAATTGAGAGGACTGATAGTGTTGGAAATCTGAGAAGGCCAGGAAAGTGACTAGTGGTGCAACAGCTGCTTCATGGTTCGGGTAATTCCTAGATATTTGCTAACTCTCACAGGTCAAGAGCAGTGCCCACCACATCCTAGTAACACCTCTGTTGACCTTTCTAGACATATATATTGTCCTTCTTCCTTTATATGTTATATCTGAATCAGTTATAGCGATTGATAGTGTTAGTTTAACCATAATATTTGCATGTGTCATTTGTTTCCAATTTTTGTTTCTCTTTCCTATAGAATACCTAAACATACCCCTTAAAACTGACCACAAAGTATTTTGCCCACAAGCTCCAATAGATATCAGTAACAATTTGCTCAGTTTTCATGAACTGTGTGATAACTTGTGTTGTGCAGTTAACTTTATAATTTTATAATAATCACTATGCTGCGTTTACATGCTCTACTAAACTTGCAGTTCACTCATGTTTTTGTGTTAATTTGTCTTCCTCAGGTGTATATTATGGAGCCATGGACATAGATGATACTCAGAAAAACTTACTGGCTAATACTGAGAGCATGTTTGTGAGAACTCAAGGAAAGAATATCTACAAAATGGATTTTCTACTGCCTGACCAAATGGAAAAGGGTTTCTTCAAATTATATGTTCATTATAAACCAGAGTCTAAATTAATAGCTCTTAAAACTGACATCAAATGTGGTTTATTCAGTTATTAGTGTGTAACAGGAACTATAATACATGCCTTTTGTCTTCATGGCAGCATTTAATCATCAGATATTTGTTTTGGGTAAATTTTTTTTCCACGTTTGATAAAGATAAGGAAGCTGAAATTTAGGGAGATGCACTAGCCTGTCCAAATTTAATCTAGAAATTAGGAGACAGAGGATTTAAATCTTGGGACCAAAATAACTCATGTTACAGTTTCCTCAGCTCTTTCCTACCAACTTTTCACTTCCTCCTTAACATATCTATTCCTTATCTCTCTTTTTCAAACATGTTTTGGCTCATACATCCCTGACCAGAGACTATATTCTGAGTAACTTAAGGCCAGTGACTGTATCATAGTCAACTCAACATCCATCTCATTAAAAAAAAAATCTAATAAACTAAAGTTAATGTGCAAACATATATATGGAATAAGATGACCAATTTGTTTTAAATGCATTTTAAATAGAGGTCCCCTTAATTGATGGCACAAAAATAATAATAAAACTTGTAGACATTTTTGTGGAAGTTGTCAGATATCTTCTAAGAAGATGCTTAGCAAACAATTGACATTAAAAATTGAGAACATCCAAATATTGCTTGTCCTAAAAATACTGAAAAAATATTTCAACACTGGGTACATGTTATCCCACTGTCCTTCACAAGAGGGCATCCTTGATCTGTACTACTGTGGCCCACAGTCATCCCAATGTTTTTGCTTTCGCTATACATGAGAATCTATAAACTTATACGAGAAGCATTAAGTTTCAAAAGGAATAGATTTTATTTTTATTTTTCATTCTGTGTGCTATGCTTTGGCAGATCTTTGCTAATATGAAGCATTTTAAAAAATTGTACTTGCAAAGATTTCAGAAAATCTACACAGAATGACATATTTGTGATACAATTTAATTTACACATTTCACGAATTTCTTTTTTTTTTTTTTTTTGTATTTTCTCTATCCCAAGCAATATATCCTGTATGTGATTAATGTGTTTTAATAAAGCCAGCTTTGTCTCCAAGTAAAAACTTGATTACACCTTCCCGAATCTGCTTGGTCTTGACTCCGTAAATAATTGGGTTCATAGTGGGAGGCAGTATCAGATACAGGTTGGCCACAATAATGTGTAGGTGTTGGGGTATATTGTGTCCTCCAAAACGATGCGTGAAAAAAGTGAAAAAAGCGGGGACGTAGGTGATTATGATGGCACAGATATGAGCTGTGCAGGTGCTGAAGGCTTTGTGGCGAGCATCTGCTGAAGACAGGCTCACTACTGCTCGCAAGATCATAGTGTAAGACACAGAGATACAGCAAATGTCAAACACCCCAATGAGGAGAGCAACCATCAGCCCATAAACAGCATTGACGTTCACGTTGCCACAGGATACCTTGGCCACAGACATGTGGTCACAGTAGGTGTGGGGAATGAAGTTTCCCTGGCAGTAAGGCAGGCGCCTAGTGAGGAAAGGGAATGGGGTGATGAGCATCACGCTCCTCAAGAAAGTGGCAAGTCCAGCTTTAGCAATGACGGGGTTGGTCAGGATGGTAGAATATCGAAGAGGGTAGCAGATGGCCACATAGCGATCCAAGGCCATTAACATGAGCACCCCAGACTCCATCCCAGTCAACATATGGACAAAGAACATCTGGGCCAGACGGGCATGAAAGTTGATCTCCTTGAGGTTGAGCCAGAATATGCACAGCATTTTTGGTACAGTGGTGGTGCACAAGGTGACATCGGTGAAGGAGAGCAGGGCCAGGAAGTAGTACATAGCCTGGTGCAGGGCCTCCTCATGGCCGATGAGGTAGATGAGCCCACAGTTCCCCACAACAGCAGTAGTATACAGGAGACAGAATGGCAGCGAGATCCAAATGTGTGCTTCTTCCAACCCAGGAACACCATTCAAGATGAAGGTTCCTGGTGTCAGGCTGGAGCTATTGGTCCCAGACATAATGTCTGACAGGAGGAAAGCATTTCACAGGGTTTAACAGCAATGGTTTTCTAGATAGGAGAGAGAGAGAAAGGCATTTAGAGATCAAATAAGAAAGACTGGTTCAGCTAATATGATTTGCAAATGCCATGAACATTCACTTCACTTTGATAATTGTGATTTTTTTTCAGTCTATCAGGAGAAACTTTGTACTATGGTATCTGAAGGCCATTAGACAGTCTTATCTCACTCAATGACCTATTGTGAATTTTATGTAAGCTACTGTCCTTAGCTTGTACCCCTCTACCTAGCACATGGCTTACATTCCATCACATCACCAAGCCCAAGCAGGACTGAGACAGACCGTCACCATTCAAAAAGCCACTCTGGCCTCTCCTCTCAGATTCTTCCCACACTAGGTGCATTTGAATCTTTCACTGAAATCACTGAAATTTATAGAATCTTCCTAATCCAACCACTCTTTATCAGCAATTTAGCTATCTAGTTCTCATGGCAACTAAAAAATTAGCACTTTAATTTGCCTTGAGGATTATGAAAAAAACCTGCATTTCCAATTTTCCAGTAATGCCCTATATTCCTTGCTCACAATAATACATTAGAATGTGAATTGTACTATCTGGGAACAAGCATGTTGTAATTACGGAGGATCCAGTATATCTGATACTTGAACTCCATCTGATATTCAGACTGAGATTTTCCACATTGTGGAGTTTCAAAGTAACCTCTCGACAAGAAGAAAAAACAAAAAAACTTCCAACTCATTAGAAACCTTAATTTTATACTGTTTTAATGAAGATTTGAATTCAGTTAGACACAGTATTCTTTACCATGAGTACTACATTTACAATCAGGAAACCCACGGAGTTCTAACAACCACTGCGTATACTACTTTATTTAAATATTATACTTACCTTAGTTACTGAATAGATAACCAGTATGAAGTAGAGTGTTACACTTTTTAATTACTACTTCTTGTAGAGGAAATAAAGAATAAAGTTGTATTTAAAAGGATTTACAGATAGAGAGGTGTTGGAGAAAAACTTTGTTAAATATTTCTTTTAAGAAGAAATTGAAAATGATCTCTAAAGCTCCATGCAGCAAAACTAATACCAAACACCCTTGGTCAACCTGCATAATTAGATACTTGGAGTGTGACGGGATAGATTATGGCTATGAAGCCACCAGACATAAATTGTTTTGACTCTTGAAGTTACTACTGCAGCCACTTTTATTTTCTAAAGTACACAAAAATCTCCAAGGAGCCAATAAAATACAAAAGAACTACATGATTAGGGTCTCTGGCTCCTAGCCATAACCAGATCTCATATAAATGATTCTTTCCTGGAAGAGAACTCTCAGATTATCTCTTCATAAATGTCGGCATATGAAGAAATCATCATCTCCTAAAACTGGACCAGAGAAGTTTAAGGGATACAATTTCTAGGGCCCACCACCTTTACGTAGATATCACAATGGAGTGAATGGGATGAAAGGAAGATGAGACAAAGTTCACTGGAAATCACACAGCAGGAAAAAGAGCCATTACCCCCAAAGAGATACATTTTAGCTCCGACCACTGTGGCTTTTGGTTCTCTTTCTGCCTATTCCAATGGGTTGTGTTCTGTTCCAGCAATATCTGCATTGTCCCCAAATTGGTATTTTTGAAAATTGTCCACTCACCTCAGTGCTAGGTACAATCAAATCGCCACACATGGCTGAGAATCCTTAGAAGTTTCTTGAAATCTGGGATGAAATCTTATATATGATGTTTTGTTTTCCCTGGGGGATAATTATCAAGTTGTCCCAGGCTGATTGAGTCTCCACAATTAGCTGTCACAATGGACTCTGAAACAACCTGGGGACCACAGACCTATACTCAGAAACTTGTAAAACACACTGAAGGACAATACTTTCTCCTCAGTGAGAAGTGTGGCCACCAAGTCTACTCTTGATAAAGTAGCATCTTTGAAAAAATATGCTTTCTTTTATTATTCTCAACACAGAGAAATAACCACCCAACAATGTTTTCTGTATTTTTATAGCTATTATGTATTCAGAGCTGTTCAAAAATAAATTTCAGCTGAAATTGGATTGTTCACACTGTTTCTCAATATTTTGTGGACATTTCTCATGAATTTTGTATATTTTAAAGAGTCCTTTAAATAAAATAATAGAAGAATAAAAGCATTCTTCTTAAGCGTTAAAACATAAGAAGTGTTTATTTTCAGCAGCAACCATATACTAAATATATCAATCACTGTTTTCCCCAAAGCTTCCAAACACTTCTCAGAATATTCTTCCAAATGTTTAAGTACAGTAATGAGTAATTATTTGAACACAATTTTAATCATTTCAAAGCACTGATGACCGCATTCTTCCAAATTCTGTGATTGTAAGAAACACCCATAGGTTTGTATCACATGTAGGCATATTTACTGAAGATTTGATAGACAAAATTAAAATTTTAATTTGAGTGAATGAAACTTTCTCTAGCAGCTAAGATGCCAGATGAGATGCTCTCACTCCTTTTTAGAGTACTTAGGATTGGCACTTTGCTCAGGTTCCTTGTCCCAGCTTCTCACTAATGCAGAATCTGGGAGCTATGGGGTGATAGCTCAAGCAGTAAGGTTTCTGTCACGCACCTGGGAGACCTGGATTGAGTTCCTAGCACACTTGAGAGCCAGTATAAGATACAGGCCATGCCTAGCTGGGCTGGGCTGCAACACCCAGTAATAGGAGCTGAGACTGTGGTAGGGCCATGCCAGACTGGGTCGAAGCAACCACTAGCATGCACAAGATGTGGGGCTGGGAAGGGGTCTGGTAGAAGAACTTTGGGAACCCCACTCCGCTTGAGAGCCAGGGTTGTGGTAGACTGTGCCGGGCAAAGCTATGGCATCTTTTGGCGCTTGTGTGCATTGGGTCTGATGGTGGACCACGCTGGGCTAGGCTCAAGCACACATTAGCACTCAGGAGAGCCCAAATGAATATGTGCGGGGCCAGGCTAGGCTGTTGTACCAGATAGGTCACACATGAGCTGGATCTGGGGGTGGGTCAGGCTGGACCAGGCTACAGCACCTGCAGGTGAGGACCGGAATGGGTGTGGGCCAGTTGGGCTAGGTCACAGTACCTGTGACTGGAAGCTGGCTGTGTCAGGCTGGGGCATAGCACCCACCAGTGTACATAATTTCTGAGGCTCAAAATGTGCCTGACAGAGAAATTGTGGTCACTTGCTTGCTGGGCTGCAGCTTCCATTGATAAACCTGAAACTAGTGCTGGACACATGTTAGGCTGAGCTAATTTGAAGCGCTCATGGGTGTGCATGAGAGACAGATGAGCTGGACTAGGCTAGACTGCAACACCTGCTGACCACTATAGTATATCTCCCTCCATATTAAAGTCGGTTATAGCAATCCAGTTCTGGCGACCACAGTTCATAAAATATATAGATTTTATTTAAGCATCTTTTCCTCTCCTAAATGGGTGTATCCAGTGAATCATTCCAAATTCTTATTGACATTAATGCCAAACATACTTCCCAGGTGGTGATGAGTCCTAGTAACCATATTCACCTCATCTTATATGCAAGTATGAGTATGGCCATATGAATCCAAATGACTGTCCCGGCAGCACAGCATCAAAAACAAGTGAGCAGCCAAAGAGCTCCCTGAAGTGCTGCCAGTTTCATATAAACAGAGCAAGGGGATGACAGGATTCATAGCATTAGCACTGACGTTCTGGGGCAGTCTATCACACTTTTCTATAACATGGACACAATCTGTTTGTGTGCATCTTCTGGAGTCTCTTTAGGCTGGCTAACTGATACTCTTCATTCTTTCCTATGTATTCCCCACAGTGCTTAGACCAAAGTGAAATAAGCACAAAAAGTTTACTTGAAATTACATGTCTTATTACATTTTGTACATCTATTCCAGAAGGACTAACTAAAGTTAAATTATGTAACAAATTTAATAGCTTCCAATTTCAGTTTTCTGGAAAATTTATTTAACATTTACATACTTGTTTCTTGAATTTTACAGCATATTATTAACAAGCACTGCCTCCTAAACTCGTAATTTTTGAATTTTATGTTGAGTCTTGGTCTATAATTTATATTTAGTATTAAATGTAGAGTAATATAGCATTGATTTATTTCATACTCAACATATTTTTTTCTCTAAAAGGCAAGTTGTCACTCCTTCATGGATTGGCTTGGTTTTCACTCCATACACAACTGACTTTAAAGTGGAAGATGGCAAGAAACACAAGAGACATAAAATGTGGCCATGGTGAGGTATGATGAGTTCCCCAAAGCAATGAACGAAGAAGTTGAAGAAGGCTGGGACACAAGTCATGACAATGGTATATATCTGTGATGTGCAGGTACTGAAAGCTTTATGGTGAGCATCTGTAAATGACAAGTTGGCTATAGCACAATCATGGCGTAAGACATGGAAATGCAAAAACATATCAGATCCCCAATTAGCACAGCAGCTATGAGACCACAGGTAGCATTCATCTTGTCTTTGCCACAGGATAGTTTGGCCACGGAGATATGGTCACAGTAGGTGTGGTGAAAAAGGCTACCCCTTATGAAGAAAGTAAATGGGACCAGCTTTAGTAATCACAGTATTGGTGAGGATGGTGGAATTACGTTGAGGGTAGCAGATAGTCACAAAGCAGTCCAGAGCCATGAGCATAAACACTCCAGACTCTATGCCTGTTAGCATGTGGATGAAAAACATCTGCACAAGACCGGCATGAAAGTCATTCTCTTTGAGACTGAACCAAAAGATACGTAACACTGTGAATGCACCCAGTAAGATCTGTAAGGGACAACAAGGCTGGGAAGTAGTACATGGGACGGTGCAGGTGCTCTTCATAGCTGAGGAGCCAGAGAAGCCAGCAACTCCCTGTTGCAGCAATAATGTTCATGAAACAGAATGACAAGGAGATCCAGCACATGTGGTTTCTAAAACGTCTTGACATCAGACTGGAGCTGA